AAAAAAAAAAGAGTTGCATCCTCTCCCAACTGAGCCCACCAGGCACCTCTGGACTGGATCATTCTTTCTTGTGGGGACTGTCCCATACATTGTAAGATGTTAAGTAGCATTCGTGGCCTCCACACATTAGATGCTATAGCACCCCTTTCCTACCCCCCAGTTATGACAACCAAAGATGTCTCCTGCCTTGTGAACCAGTGCTCCAGGCCGATGACTCCTAGACCTGAGTTCTTTCATAGTGAAAGAGCTTGACTGCATTGCTGATTGTAGTAAACCACTTCACTCTTCTGTTAAAATCCAGTGTAAATATACATTAGTAGGTTTTGCTTTGGATGACCTGCGGGCCATTTTACAAAGTACTTTTAGAATAAGCCGGAGCACTATAAAAGGTGAAGTCCCGAATCAGAGTGAAGATACAAACTTTCCTGATGAGCCAGAAATTGCGGTTCCTACAAGGCTCAGCCAGGCTGAGTGAAGTTGTTGAGAAAGCCATAGACAGCCTGTAATTTGTCTCTTTTCGTTCTTGTCACCAGAAAAGCAAGGGGAGGAGAAGAAAATCAAACCTTTCCCTGGATTAGTCAGAGAAGGAGGAAGTTGACGACAGGTAAAAAGAGAGGTTTGGGGGGGCGCGTGCTTGTGGGTGGGGCCGGGGGCTTTTGATGTCAGGTTGCCCCACAACCAAGAGTGTCTAAGCTATGAGCAAGCCCTGAAGGACACCACCATCTAAATCAAGAGAACTCAGGCGAGTAACAGCATCCTGTATGAAGTCCAAGGTTACAGGGGATGGGAGGAAATTGGTTCCAGTTAAGTGTTAAAGAGAGAAAGGTACCAAACCAACCTGGATTACTTCCTTCAAATGCTCACTTTTTAGGACCACCCACATTACTGCTTAAGAAGAGGCATAAACACAGGCTTAGTTCCCATTTCTGTAAAGCCAAACCGCAAGTCATAACCAGAGCTACTGTTGCTGCCTGGAATTTGCAAATCCTCATCTTAGGCAAGTCATTGAAAAGGGAATAAGTACTTCAAAGAGCCTGAAGTGTTAACCTTGCAGATCTAACTTACCAGAAATTATCGGCAAGTTTTCCTTTACCTTAAGAAAGCTGATGGTTATGTAAATGCAAAAGCTCTTTCTCAACCAGTTCTGGGGGCATTCCAGGGCTTGCTGTCCCTTCTACTTATGCTTTTCTCAATTGGGCCTCTTCTGGATATAAATTTCCTAGTACTGAGAACCCCTCTCCTTCTCTCCCTAATGGTTTGTAAGGAATCACCTAACAGTTGGGAAAGGGAAACGTTCAAAGATCAGAGGTTTCTTTGTCCCAGACTGAGTTGACTGCTGGGATAA